TACACTTTGATCATCACCGCTACTGCTCATCACCACTGCTCAGCTCTTGCTCCGTGATGGTGCACATCGTCAGCATGCCCTCATAGATCTACCGGCGCACGAACTACTGCTGTCACCGGTGTTGCCACTCGTGCTCACCACCGCCAGATCCAAAGGCAAGTGTAATAAGGCCTTACTTGCATCGCTGTCCCTTCTCCTAAAAACTCATCTCCTTACTAATGTTTATTGATGTAATTCCATGGCAGGGCGGCCTCATCTCTTCGGCTGCTGGTGTCCTTCTAGATGAAGAAGGCCCGCAATATGAGGAGTGCAGTGGATAGCCTCTCAAATGATGTGCTTGCCGACATCTTCAGCTACCTCCCCACCCGGTCCTTGTGCTGCTGTAAGTGTGTCTGTCGCTCCTGGAAGCACGTCATCTCTGACTCCTATCAATGTAAGAAGCTTTCACAGACTGTCATCGACTTCTTCTATGGTAGCTGGTGGAAGGGCAATCGCCACTTCACCAGCATCACTGGTGAACAGCCCTCCTTGTCCTTCTTGCTCTTCCCCCTTAAAAAAGTCCTAGTCTCAGATTGTTGCAGCGGCCTCGTCCTTTGCTGGTGTGCTGGGCCTAATGGATTACATCACTATGTTGACTGCAATCCGGCGACCCACAAATGGCATGTACTGCCGCATAACATCTGTTCTGTTGGTCAGGCTCGCTTAGATTTTGACCCAACATCCTCGCACTTCCATGTGATTGAATTTGTTGAGGTGGAGGGTGCGTGTGTAGGTGTGGAGATCTACTCATCTAAAACTGCAGCATGGATGTTTAAGGAATCTGAATGGGGCGAGGGTAGTATTGTTCTACGTTCAAAATCGAGAAGTGTTTTTCTTAATGGTTTTATGCACATGCTTGAGTACTCTGTGATAGTTGCTGTGGATATGGAGGGAAATACATGGAGGACAATTCGTAAACTAGGTGGTGCTGAAATGTCCATCCATCAAGCTTAGGTTCACTTGTGTGTGTGTTGTGCTGATTTTCGCAATAGGTCTTGGCTTTTAGTGTGGATACTTGAAGACTATGGTACTGATAACTGAAGTTTGAAGCATGTTGTGGACACAAAGGAACTGTTTGGACACATGAATATTAAAATTGGTTCTGAGCTTTGTGATGAGGAGTACAGTGTGATTACATTTCACCCGGAATGGAATTTTATTTTCCTTGTTGGGAAGGATAGAACATTGATTGCATATGACATGGACCGCAGAAAGGTTCATGTCATCCATGTTCGTGTCATCCGCTTTTGTAGATCAAGAGGGCATTTCCATATGAATAGGCCTTACTATCTTCCTTATATTCCCTTGTTCATGGAGTCTTTAGCAGAGTAGTAAAGGTGCATTTCCTGCATTTCGTCGTCACGACAGTCTTTGTTCAAGTAGGGAGTTGTTTTCATTCTATCTATGTATAGGCTAATTTTGGCTTGTTAACTAAAGGAATGGTATGTTCAATATTATTAATTCTGCTGCTTTGTTCAGGTTGTGGATTAGAGATAAATAAGAGGGGTTCCATGGTGCATTGGCTACCAATCCGAAGGATGCACTAATTATATTCATTTTGCCTTGCAAGCAGGAGTGCCACATTGAAGGAGCATAGCTATGTCATTTCGTTATGTAAGTCTGTATAGATCAGTACCTTTAGTATGCTCTATGTACCGCTTGTGTTAGGACATCAGTTGAGAAAGATGTTATGGTAGCGTCCATTGTTATCATAAAAAGTACTCTTGTTTGTGACCATGATTTATGGATGTAATGATTATATATCTGTATGCTTTGTGTTCACGAAGCTATTAAGGGTCCTGTTGAATTAGTAACTACTGTGACACCGGATGAAATTCTGTCACCGTCGCTATACGTATGATGCGGCAGGGATCAAAAGTATATCACCGCCGAATCCTTTAGTAACCCGACACCGACTAATTGATCATCAAAGGTGGATTATGGTGCAAGGCAACAGTGACCATAACCTTTGTACTGGCGAATCATACACTGAAGCGACGGTGGTGTTAACCTGCACATAGGTGTCTCGGTCATCGAACCGATAGTGAACCCGCACCGCTAATAGACGGGTCGAAGTATAAGGTGACGGTTTTGATAGCCTCGACAAAGGTGGATCATTTGCTAATGCGGCGGTGTTAGTGTACATCCACAGCCGGGTCGTGCTTCAATACGATGGAAGGACCTAATCACGGATGGATCATAAGCCAATCGGCGGTGTTAGTGTACACCGCAGTCGGTCCCAGATGCCGACGGTGAAGGCTATGACCATCATTGTCGACAGCTTACTGCCGAGGCCAAAATTGGACTATGATGTGGCTTACGACGCAACTATGAAAGGTATGAGTACAGTAGTGTAAATGGTTTAAGATTGGGACCATGTTCCTTAGGTTCACAAGAAAGCCCACGACAACCCTCGTAGAGCTACATCATGTGATGGAAAAGTACTGTAGATCGGATATGGATTTTAGATTGAAAACTGAGGCACAAAGATCCCAACCTCGACCTCCACCAAGATTGCTGCAAAGACTCCCATACCATCATGGAGAACAAATCAACGTGAATGCCATAGATAACACACCTCTGCTAGCCCAGATTAAGCAACAAATCACAAAGGTCCCGGAGCACCCGGTCAGCAAGAGTGACTCTAGAAACAACCTCGCAAATCGAGGGCCACCAAAAGACCCATACAAAATCTACTACCATTTCTGTGTCCCAAGCAAGGGCGACACAATCAAGCAATGTACCTGTTTCACCAATTGAAAGGAATTCTAGGATTCCCAATCAAGCTCAACACTGAAACTAGTAAACCACACGCGAAGGCCACCCATCCAGCCACCTAACCCAAACTACCAATACACACCCATAAACTACGGAATACCTTTGCAACCTCCAAGCCACCATTTTCCAAGCTACCCAAACCTGCATCAACACTATCAAACTTACAACAATCACTTCGAACCTCACACCATACTTTCCAATGCCAACCACGATCTCCTTCGCAGCCTTACACAGTAACTCATCCGCCAACCCTGCCTAAACGACAAACCCTCACCCTGATTTGCCTCTGCCACCACCTCTCCCACAAACCTCGCAACCGCAACAAGTCAAAACCAAACCAACAACCTAAACAACACCAACAACCCTAAACAAACCCGACATTCACCTTTGAGGTCGTCCTCGCAATCTCAAAGAAATGTACAACGATAACTAACACATTGTGTCAGACTCAACCATTATTTTATCAGTGAGGCACGGAGAGCTCCGGTGTGCTTTGCTTCCTTGACTCTCAAACTCGTGTACTATGTTGAAACGCTGGTACATCTCTTTGGTGCAGCACCATAGAGATCAAGTGAGTTCTATAGGTTTTTAGTAAGAAAAAACCCTTACTAGATTCTCCTATGCAAAGATCCATCCATGCTTTTGAAATTTGGTGCCACTAACTCGGTTACTATTCGACTCCGGTGCATGCACTCTGGTGGTGCATTGGAAGTATGGACTTTCACTATTAAAACTTACTCCCATAGACACTATTAAAAAACTCAAGTGCATTCTTGGTGGTGCACTATAAAACAATCCAAAAGACTTCTTTTTGAACACTTTTTCAAATATGCTAACTCAAGTTGATCTCCTATAGGATGATCATCACCTTTGGTCCTTAGTATTCTTTAAAAACATTTTCAAAGGTTTGTGATTTGTTTTTCAAATTGGCACTCAATTCTAAATGCAATGAATTTGTTAGACCTCAAAGTGACACTTGTCTACTGTAATGTAAGTTTTTCCCTCTTAATAGTACAACTATCTATCCTATCAGTCTAGCTATTTCACATCCTCTAATCACCTCATGACCGGCTAACACTAACCCTATTGTTAAACCTTTTGCCTTGAAGTTGTCACCATACTTCCTTGCCATTTGACCAGGACATCCATTAAACCTCAAAAGTGGACTTTTTTTTGAAATGATATGGACTAAAATTTTAACCTTCACATATTACATGAAATGTTGGTCTACATGAGTTGCCATTAATTATCAAAACCCAAATAGGGGCCTAGATGTTTTCATAAAGTTACTTGCAGATCACTCCCTAATAATCAGTGATTATGTTGCCTAGCCAATTACAATCATATCCGAATGCTTTTTACATGCCTGCTACTACCCATTATAGGCTGCACTTTCGGTGGTCATAGTGGCAGCTCTCACTACCCCAGGCAACTTTTTAGGTGCTGGGAGTGCTGGTGGCAGGCGGTGGGTGGCGGCGGCTGGACTGGGATTTGTCTCACAAGTGGGGAAGACAGGATGCGACTGCGGAGGAGATGGATTTGGGGAAAGACCGGAGGGGGTAAGTCACGGGTGGTGGGCAATTTTGCGCGCTTCTTTTTTTGCGGGCGCACGCCCACGCCCTTTTTTCCACCCGGTCACGGGCTGTGAGTATGTCCCGTGGGCCATATGACCGGTTGGAGCGCGGGGATTCAGCGCGGATTCTAATGTCTACGCGCGAAGGGCGCTAGAATCATGAAACTGGACTCCGTGACAGTGGTGGCCCGATGGGAGTTACTTTCCAGGTCGGTCTTTTGCCACCGCGGGGAGAAGTCGTGCGCTCATGACGGAGTGGCTCCAACCGAGAGGAAAGACACGTACCGACGGGCGAAAATTGGTTTGGGGGTAGCGTCTCCCTGGAGCTGCTATATATAGCACCACTATAGTAGCCCATTATTTAAAACAACGGTTAGACCTTTGCTTAGTTAGATGTTGTAGTATAGTATGACAATGCTCTGAAATGTTGTTGCTATTTTGGGGTATTATGTTAAACCAAAAGTCTAAAGAGTGTACATGACTCAGGTCATGACTCAACCACATGTGCAACTGATCATCAGTAGATATATATTGCCGGATCATGACACACCATGGTGGCGCTACTATGCCACTCTCTGGTAACAGTTTCCGCACTCCAGCTTGTTATTAGCTAGTATCCACCAATGGTCCCTTCCAGCGCAGTTGGGCTCCCAAAGCAATAGGTCCTTATCGGGCTCTTGGATGGGCACATCCTGCAAACCAGCAAGTAGCACAGAACAGCAAATCAGCAGTCTGGCACATATGAATAGCAGTGAATGTGCTCCTAAGGAGAAACAAAGCAAAAACATGAAAGGTAGGAGCAAACCTGATAGGAATGCCATCCACGTAAATGCCGCCGGACATAAGAGCAGCAATAGCACCATCAACCTGTAGTTAAAACACATGTAGGAAATAGTATGCACCAACGCTAATTAGTCTTACATATATGCACGTAGAGACACCAAAATGACTCAGGAAGAAAATCATTTATACTTGTGAGTTTTAATGGGTCAGAGGTGTTGGGAGGTGTTTATAGCTTATAATTAAACTATTAGTGTTTTTTTTTGCGAAGAATTAAACTATTAGTGTGGATGGTAACAAACTAACATCAGGTATATCTTGATTATTAATCTCATATTATTATGAGTATAAACGATTTTAAAAGGATCCATACATAATCATAGCATACCGGCTCACCAAATGTGAGCACAAGAGCATAGAAAACAAAGTAAAGAATACAAACAAAAACTCATAGGTCATATAGGTTGTTCCATTGTCATTATTAATTCATCAAAGTAAATTCGGTGCAGAAAAAGTTTAATTGAGATGAACTTTGAGACTATTAGGTACCTCAGCAAACTCAATAAAAGCTATATTTGTGGAGCGATCTTCATTATCCAGAAGCTTAAGGTGGCAAACCTGTGATGCATTGAAATAAAGATTGTAAATAATTCATATGAATAATCCTTGAACATAAACACAGAAAGGGTACGTGGCATTTGCAGAATTAAGAAATGAAGTAACGATTTGCTAGATTGTTGTGCCTTGCCAAAGTATGCCTCACAAAAAGCTTTCAGATTACTACTTGTGACCTGTAAAAGTTAACAAGGAATAAGTAAATATAAGAATTGAAGAAAAATAATGGGCGTATGAATCCTAATTTAGGTGAAACTAATGAAAGTTAGCTTACATACAATTTTGCTGATATTGGTGCAATATATAGTCCTCAAGCAGGTCTCCCACTCAGCTTCAGACTATACATACAGAAGAGTAAAACAAGTAAGTACATTATTAGGCATTGCAACACCTTTAGGGTGTAAATCAAAGATTGGCAAGAAAACCTTTTGACTAACCTGAGGAAGGAACTTGGGGTTAATAGGGCAGATTGCAGTCCTTGAGCGTGAAACGCTCACAGAGTTTATGCCAATAATTGTTCCATCAAGATCTAATGAAGCAAGTGCTTCATCTGAAACTTTTTGAAGCCTTGAACAAAGTGCTCCAGTTGTTCCTGCTCGTCAAAGTAGGACTCTTGATCACCCACGAATTGCTCACCGTCTATACTCGATAATCACAACAACATACAAGCATCCAGAAGCAATCATGTATAGCAAACAAAAACTATAGATTAGAACAGTACACCAACACATAAAATTAAGATGAAAAGTTTGTAAAATGATTCTACGTCTTGCTAAGAACACACAGACGCGAAGATCACGAAAATCGGAGCTAAAACGAAAAAGTTATGAATTAAACAAGATTTCCTTTAATAAAATAATAGATTAAATCTAACATCGAATTTTAAAAGTTGAAAACATACTTAACAGTAGTATGAACATGTAGATTGCTCAATTACGAACTGTCACACCCGATTTTAAGGCTAAAATGGGATGCAAAATCTTATGTGCGCCCAGATATCAGTCACACACATAAGCCGACAAATTATAAATAGTATCATCACAAGTGTTTATTATATCATGAATAATAAGACATAGTATTCACATAAATATAGCGGAAGTATAAAGAAAAGTCTCTCGCGGAAGCTCTATATCACAGGGACGTCAACTGGTTGACCACAAGTCTAGTAATTCTAAGGAAAGTCGTCATTACCATAGCCATCTATTACCCATCCGGAATTTTTATCCAAATAATGAAAATAAACAAGCGTAAGTTTGTGTCGTACTCAATAAGTGTAACATGGGGTTCATGAGGCTCAAAAGGCTAGACACAGATTTAACAGCATTCAGCTTTTAGTTGTCATAATTTTAGCATAAGAGTAGCAACAAGTTGTTTTAATCCCAAAGTGAAACACATGATCAATGTAAACATGAATAATGAATAACATAAACAGATAATTCTTAGTGATCATCTAATTCATAAATGTTCTAAGGCCGCTCGTGATCGTGAGCATGGCTGATATACCAGTTTTACACTCTACAGAGGTTGTACACTTTCACTGTGAGTCGTGATACCCATATGCATAGGATAATTACTCTCAAAACACTTCCAAGGTGAGCAGGCAGGGGTCACTATGAAATCTTTCAAAGGTTCGTCTAACAAGTTAAGGCCGCTAGGTTTCTGTGCCCTGCGAATGTAGGGCTCCCCTTCTGACAGGCACAATGACGCGTAGCCTATACACTGACGGACAGAGGCCGCACTATATCCAACCCGAAACACACCCCTCTTGCGCCATAAAGGTAACCTCTAATAATCTAGAAAAGGTCCTTATACTGAGCTAAAGCCAGAGCCATATAGCCCTCACAGCCGTACTGTAAGTCCCGGATGATCACTTACAGATAAGTCCTTAGGGAGAGGAATCTAGAGCATTTAGAAAGTAGCTAAACACTCCAGCCCCCTGTTTCCATGTTGCTAAAAAGTCATGTTTGAACGTTTATTGCATATACCATTAGCCAAGTTACAAGATCTTGGTTTAGTTGAGCACTAGCAATGCTATCCAATGCATATCCCATAGGAGACAAGGTATAAGTTCAATTCTAGGGAATCCCTATCAAAGTGACACATGCAACATGAATTAAATGTATTAAAGTTGATAGGAAACAAGGATATTCCCATGCTATACTTGCCTTGAACAAAGTGCTCCTGCTAATCCTGCTCGTCAAAATAGTACTCTTGATCACCCACGAATTGCTCACCGTCTATACTCGATAATCACAGCAACATACAAGCATCCAGAAGCAATCATACATAGCAAACAAAAGCTATAGATTAGAACAGTACACCAACAGCATAAAATCAAGATGAAAAGTTTGTAAAACAAATCTACATCTTGCTACGAACACACAGACGCGAAGATCATGAAAATCGGAGCTAAAACGAAGAAGTTATGTATTAAACAATATTTCTTTTAGTAAAATAATAGATTAAATCTAACCTCAAATTTTAAAAGTTGAAACTATACTTAACAGCAGTATGAACATGTAGATTACTCAATTATGAACCTAACACAACTTGAACGTATCAATAGGAGTTAAAACAAAGATTTTATGGCAAAAACAAGATTAGTGGCAAAACCATAAATAGTTGAAACTTAATTTTCGAATTTAAATACATAAAATCAGATTTTAAACCGAACTAGGGACTGCGGACATGAAAACGAAGAAACATAGGGGCTCTTTAACAAAATTGCAGGGATGGCGGGTTGAGATCCAAATAATTATATGGGCCTTTTTGCAAAATGATAGGCGAAGGGGTATCTTAAGATCTGGACTGTTGGATCGGAATCGAATGGCGTAGATCAGATCAAAGGGGAGGGAAAATGGCCAACAAGGACGACGGTGAGCTCCACGGCGGCGCTCATGGAATACAGTCTACAGACTATGAAATAGCAAACCAAGGACACCAGAAGCTAGAGGAGAGCAAGGCGAGCTTGTCTAGGAAACTTACCAAGGCACGGAGCGGATGGAAGCGGCGCGTGGCTTTGGCGGATTGTTCTCGGCAGCGGCGGCGCTGCGAGCTCGGGACGAGGCGAGGTGGCTTCGAAGCTTGGGATGGGAGCGGCATGATGCGGGCATCCGGTATTTATGGCTGGGAGCGGCTTGGGGTACAAGGCAAGGAGGGGGGTGTGGGCGGTACGGACTCCCGACGATGGTCATTTTTGGCCCGGTCACGCACGAGGAGGAAGATGACAGACCGCTGGGACCATCGTGTCGGTGAGAGAAGGGCGCGGGCCCGGCTGTCAACGGAACGGAGGGGGAAAGGGGAGAGGTGGCTACACTGGGCTGCTGGCTGCTGGGCCGAGCTAAACGGGCCGCTATGGGAGGGAGAGCAGGCCACGTGGGAAGGCAGGCCGAGCTGGGCTACGGCAGGCCAAATTCTGAGAAGGGAAGAATAAAATCCTTTTCTATTTTCTAAACTAATTTTCCAAATGAATTTTTGAATACAAATTAAAATCAATTTGAAATTTGATTTCAAACCACACAATACAAAAATAATATGCAGTAGCATGAATACACAAACATGTATGTAGACCTATATTTGATTTTAATTTTAACAAAGTTACTATTTTTCTAAATTTCAATGCTCACAAAATGCATAATTAAATCATTTTTCCTATTTTAAAACCATGCAAATTTTAGGGTGTTACAATTCTACCCCCCTTAAAATGAATCTCGTCCTCGAGATTCGGACGATGCTTACTCAAAAAGCTACGGGTATGTTTTTCTTAGATCCTCTTCTCTTTCCCAAGTAGCCTCATCTTTCGTATACCGATTCCACTGAACCTTACACATCTTTATAACCCGGCTCCTTATAACCCTTTCTGCCATCTCCAAAATCTTTACCGGATATTCCTCATAAGTAGGATCTTCCTTAACTGTAAGCTCTTCTAACGGTATCTTCTCCTCAGGTATACGCCGACACTTCTTTAACTAAGACACATGGAACACATCATGTACACCTGACAAACTCTCAGGCAATTCCAACTGATAAACCACTTCACCACGTCTCTCTAAAACCTTGAAAGGCCCAATATACCTTGGTGCTAACTTTCCTTTCATGTTAAACCTTCTCACACTTCTCACTGGTGATACTTTTAGGTAAACATAATTCCCTATTTCAAAAACCAATTCTCTTATCCTAGTGTCAGCATAACTATTCTGTCAAGACTGTGCCACTCTCAAGTTATCCCTAATCATCCTTACTTGCTCTTCTGCGTCTCTTAAAACATCGGGTCCAAACACTTGACTTTCTCTTGTTTGATTCCAAAACAACAGGGTTCTACACCTTCATCCATACAAAGCTTCGAAAGGTGCCATATTGAGACTCTTCTGATAACTATTGTTATACGAGAACTCTGCATAAGGCAAACTCTTGTCCCAACTTGTACCATATTGCAATGCACAAGCTCTCAACATGTCCTCTAAAATCTAATTAGTTCTCTCAGTTTGTCCATCTATCTGAGGATGATATGCTATATTAAAATTCAACTTTGTTCCCAATGAACTATGTACTTGCTGCCAAAAATGAGATATAAATTGAGTACCTCGATCAGACACGATCTTCTTTAGAACTCCATGTAGACACACTATCTTCTCCATATATAATTGGGCCAACCTTGGTCCATTATAAGTAGTCTTTACCGATATAAAGTGAGCAACTTTAGTTAATCGATCCACTATCACCCAAATTGAATCATAACCTCTCTGAGTGCGTGGTAACCCAACTATGAAATCTACACCAACTTCTTCCCACTTCCACTCAAGTATCTTCATTGGTTGTAATAATCCTGTATGTCTTTGATGTTCATCTTGGACTCTCTGACATGTATCACATAAAGCAACATATTCAGCCACATCCCTCTTAAGTCCATACCACCAATACTTCTCCTTTAGATCCAAATACATCTTGGTACTCTCGGGGTGAATAGAGTAAGCAGACTCATGTGCCTCATGAAGAATTGCATCTCATATAGCCTTATTTTTAGGCACACATAGTCTTTTCCCAAACCATAGAGTTCCATTATCATCTATACGGAATCCTGGTGCCTTGCCAATCACTATGTTCTCCGCTATCTCCTTCAACTTCGCATCCTGTAACTAGCCCTTGTGTATCTCTAGCTCCAATATAGGCTCTATCACCAACTCTACTGCATTAGTGATGAAACCCAAGTTTAGTTGCTTAAGTTCAGCACACAACTCACTTGACATAGATGCCATTTGCACCTCATTGGTATAACTTTTTCTGCTAAGAGCATCGGCAACAACATTCACCTTTCCAGGATGATAGTGTACCTCTAGATCATAATCTTTAATCAACTCCAACCATCGATGTTGTCTCATATTTA